CTTGTCAGGAAGCCTGCACAGCAATCACAAAGAAAAACCAGACACAGAACGGAGGCTGCAAGCAGGTTGACATTTGGAAAGCGCCCATCACCTGCTCCCCAGGACCAAAGAGGTGAAAGTTGTACTCCTGGGGAGAAGGATGATTTTGTTAATAGGTGTGGTGTTTATGCCAAGTGTCAATTAAAGCCTCTGGGTAGCTTTGTTCATCAGTGTTGGCTGACTCACAGGGCTCAGAAGAGGGATGCGGAGGAAACTTCTGGAAAGACAATCCGAGTCACACCTGCTGTCCCACAGTTAGCCTTTGAGCATTTACTGTACAGTCTGGGTCAGCAGAGGAGAGAAGCTTGGCTTCAGAGGCTTACATTATAATGAGTCACACAGTCATTAGTGTGTGAACCTCAGGCAGGAGCTCGCGTTTCCTGTGAGGGAATAGGGTTTTTTTTTTGTTTTGTTGTTCAGTCATAAGCGCTCCCCTGCTGGGTCTGGAATTGCTCTCTGCACCAAAAAAAAATGCCTGACTTCATTTTCTTTGAATTTAAAAGGACCTTCACAAACATTTTGGCTTAAATAAAAAAGAAAAAAATTATAAAAGGAATTAGAAAAAAATGATAAACTTTGGTTGAGCCAAGTTTCGTGGAAAAGAGCTGCAGCAGTGGAAACAGTAGAGGATGTTGAGGATATCCCAGGCTCCCAACTCATCTCTCTCAGGTGAAGATTCAGGAGAACAAAGACAGAAGAACCAAGGCAAGCACCTGCTTGACACATTGCTGAATCCTTCCAACATCAAACCTTCGAAGGTCCCACTGCTTCCTAACCTGGTATAGCTCTCTTGTCCATCAGAGTTTGTTTTCAGATGAGAATCCTACATTGAGTCACCTGACTCAATGCACCTGACTGATGCAAGGAAGAGGCGTCTTTTTACAGGGATGAATTCATATTCTCCGAGACGGCCGCGGGCTTCTGTCTAGACGGGAAAGGATATCCTTGAACTGTTTTCAAGTTTAATAAACACCCATCTA